AGAGCTTGCACCTCTTCAGATCTTAGTGTACTGTGCCTGAGTCTTTGTCCCTATTATACTTGTGCACATACTATATCTCCCTGCCTCCCCCCCCCATTCCCCACTGAAAACTCCTTAAGGACAAGGTGTGTGATACTTCATCATTGTATCCATAATCCCTTACACAAATACTTAAAATCTGTTGCTGAATAGATTGTTAAATTTATAGAAGCTTGACAAGCAGTATCCACACAGGTTATTCACTGTTGTTCTTGACCATACCTGTGATTTCATCAGTCGTTGGTTGACCCTAAAAACCTGATTACATAAACACACACACACTGTGTTTTCATCAGGGTAGGAAGCTCCTGGTAATATCCCCTACCAAGGCAGACATTGGTTCCTTCTTTACAACTTACAATATTCAAATTTTGTGGAGCACCGACTTTGTCAGGGACACATAGCTAGTATGTTTGCATCAGAAATGATAGCTGAATCTAGTTCTCCTTGGACTCCCAGGCCAGTTCCCCATTCACTACGGCAAATTGCCTATTGTATTTTTGAGGGGAGGAGGTGTGGAAAGAGAGGGGGGAATAGAAAAATGTTGTATATTAAAATTCAGATTCAAACAGTTGTGCTGGGTATCTTTTGACCCAGATATACAGGCTTATGTAACCAAAGGAGGTAAAATACAAAATGTTCCATGTTCTTTAAAATATTCATAGCAGCACTTTTTGTAATAATAAATTAGAAAGAGAGTGTTCGTTAAGGGACAACTGCTAAACAAATTGTGGTACATAAAAAATACCATACCCTAGGCAGTGACAAATATGAAGAATTAAGAGAAGCATGGGGAGAACTTTTATAAACTGATTCAGTATGAAGTAGAACCAAGAAAAATACACACATAACTACAATGTAAATTCAAAGCACCAAAACATGAAATCCAATATCATGAATTTAAAATTATGATGTTTGATTCCAAGAAGAGATTAGAAAATGCATCTCCTTCTCTTATTCACAAGGGTGCGGCATTATGGGTGTGAAACAATTAAAATACCGTCAGATTTGGCAGAGGTGTGGCTTGGCTTTATGAAGCTGTCTCCCCTTCTGGTGGAAGTAGGACAGTAGCTAGTTGTTTCTAAAAGAAGGAAAAGGGGGAAACAGTTGGTACAGGGACAGTTTACTGCTGTCTCATAACGTTACAAGAAATAGAACAGCAGGCTCTGACAGCTGAGAGTGTGTGCTTGAATGTGACATCTATGTCTATTATGACAAGTTTTTGGGAAAACTAACCTCACTCAAGCTTCCCCCCTCCAAATTAAAACACAGCTGCTCTGGGCAGTTGTTTTTACTGTTTAGCAAAAACAAAGATGAGAAGAAGGAGGACCCTTTAATACCTATGGCTCAGAAATATGTCTTAAGTTAGCGGCACATAACTTGCAGGAATACTTATTGTTTTCGTGATAGGCTGCTCCTTAATTCAATACCTGGACAGAGAAGTGGACTTCAAAGTGGGAAATACGTTGATGGTTTTGAGATTCATATTTTATTTACAAGTGAGTAAGTTCCCCTATAAAGCCTAGTGGAAGTAATCTGTTGGTTCCACAACCATGTGTGAAAAAGTCCATGCCCCTTCATACAATGATTCTGTTAAGAAAAAAATAAGGCCACATGATTTCTTCATGGCACAATTGTGAAACTGAGAATCCAAAATAAAACCATTTTCCAAACTCTAGTAAAGAGTAACCATTGCGTCACAAATTGCAGCGACAAATTCTGCTCCTTGGAGGGCAAGATTCAGAGCAGACCATCTAATACTCGTCCAGAGTATCTGCTCGGGGAATGGAGAGGCCCCTTTCCTTGAGAGCTTGGACTTTGAGCCTCTCTGCTTCCTGCTTAGTCTGCTGTTCCACCCTTTGTTCTTCCAGGATTTCCTCAATAGACACTTGCTGGAGGGGAGTGTCACTTTCCTTCTCCAGGTCCTGGAAAATAAAGGTGTTTAAACATAATTTGAAAGAGAAAGATGAGGAGAGTAGATTGAATAACTCGGAATGTGTTCCCCTAAGCAAGGGTGTAAGGGGGTAGTAGGGGTGGGGGACACAAAGCTGCACTCTCAGAGTACTATTTAAATCTATTTAAAGAAAGAGAAAGGAGCCAATATTATATGATTCCAAAGACATCAAACAAACTGTCATCTGATAGTTAGCTATTACTTATATGTTCATTCCTGGGCAGACAACAGGATTTCATTGATCTGGGTTATGTTCTTCAACAGTGAAGATTCCCTTATCTTCTCATATCATGTGATGTGTTCATGCTTTCCCATTAAACATAGAACACCTTCCAGAGAACATCTATGGAAGGCACTATGAGCTTTCCTTCTATTCTTTTATTATCTCCAAGGTACCACTTTACCATTTGAGCTGATCTTCTTATCTTACATTTTCTGCTCATGAACCATTTTTTCTGGTCATCTATTTCCTCAATAATGGTTAGAAGAACACTTTCTAAGCAGAAGTCTACTTATACCTAAGTATGCACACCTTTCTACTGTCCTATTATAGATATTTTGTAATTTTAATCATTCAGAGACTAATTTTTGCAGCTACAAAACATCACTGGAAGAGGACTGGTCTTAAAAGACATGTGCTTTTGTGGCAGTGAATAGTCTGGGATAAGAGAAAGCACTCTTACCCAAATGTGATGTAGCCCCACCTCCTCCCTTCCCTCCCTTGGGCTAGTTCAATGACTAAGCATTAAGTATGGAATATAGACTTGGATTTCTTCAGTGCAGGAGGTTAGACTCATCTCTTTTTCTGCCACTGCTGTTCATTTTGCCAGAGATGAGCAGTGTTGTTGGTCTACTGGTAAAACATCACCTTGAGACAGAATCATTTGGAAGACCCTTTGGTTTGTACTTTACACATCTTTCTTGACACCCAAATGCTTTGAGTGAACATATTTATCTTCCTGCTTAATACCTCACTTGATGTTCATCAATACTCCATGACTGCTGAAGGAAATTCTGTAGGGTCCCATTTGTCAGAAACTTGAATAATTTTTTAAAAAATAAAATGCTACTGAGACCAGATTTTAGTAAATCTTTCAGTTCAAGTCACTTTATCCATTCAGCCAAATTTCTTATATATTAAATATCTTAATACAGGGCATTAATTATTATTAATGGCTTTAAAAAAAGGTATGAGATTCTGCCCCTTCTTTGGGCATCTGGGAAGAAGATTATAGCTTTAGTTTTGGAGGTATTCCCAGTCTATGACTGAATATCCCAAACTCCCTTAATGGTTTGAGGTTTTCAGAGGGTATAATTAGGTTAGGCTGGATTCCAAATCATTCCTTCTCAAACCTATATATTATATTTTCCTAAGGAAATTTAAGTTAATATATAAACAATATTTCTCCTCTTCTGTCCATTTCTATCTAAGATGCCTTCATATATTTTCTCATGAAAGAACTGATAAATTACTTATTATGGAGATAGAAGAAAGACTAAAACTGTTTTTTGTATGCAAAAAGCATATAATCTTTTTTTCTTCTAAATTTAAGGGGCTGTGGGGGGTATGAAGCAAATACACTTACAAAGATCAACACATGCAAATAAATTTGGCTGAATCACTTTAAAATGTATTGTTTTCATAGTCTGGTGAAAGGACTCAACAAGGTAATAATCCCTTAACAGACCACCCAGACCGAGAATCTTTTTGGGGTCAGCTTAGTCTTTCACTAAACATACCCTTCTGTTTGCAAATATATAATTTTGGAAAGGAAGGGGTACATACACAGCTACTATGGATGCTGAGCACAACTACTAGATACTAATTCCAGTGTTTCACAGTACTTATGGTGGTGGTACATGTATCAAAGGTTGGAATCTCATCTGAAATATGGAAAGATATTAAGAGGGCAGAAGCTAATTCCATAAGTGATCTCACACCACAGGGATAAAAAGCAAGAAGTCATCAAAATATCTATTCTCACTCATATCCAAAAATATCTCTGCTATACCAGTACACATGTATGGTTGAAAATGTTGAGGTGACCTGTAGCCCTTTCCTACAGTACAGTTTCTCCTTTGGTTACCATCTACAGCAGCTAGATGGAAATAATTATGTTCCTTGCTTTATACGTGGCCTGTCCAACCTATTTATCTAATTGATACATTCATGTTGCTGTTGTATTCTTGCAATTAAAAGGCTATGCCACATTATTTAAGAACAAGTGCTATAGTACCCTTGAATTATTCAGTGATTGCTTAAGTTTATGATCATTTATAAAATCTTCATGATTCTGCATGTGTCCTTAACTCTCTTTGGGACTACTACACTAAGTCTTCAAGCAAAAGTTACCCCACAGTAACACGACATCATTCTTAATTTTTGTTTCTCTTGTTAAAGCATTATTAAAAGCCTTCTACAGCACATAGATAATAAGTTCAAGCACTTGAGAGTTCTCTCATAAAGAGGAAATGATCATTTTGTACATTTTGTTCTAGGTTCATTCTGTCTCCCCACACACTTAGAGCATTCTCAGTGCCTATTCTAGTAGGTTTACGGTATTTACTTCTACCACAGGACAGTAGTTCATGACAGGTCAGGTACTATGCTGTTTAACAAGAAGGCCTAGGTTTAAAAGGGGCACCTGGGTGGTGCAGTGGATAGAGCACCAGGCCTGGAGTCAGGAAGACCCAAGTTCAAATCTAGCCTCAGAACCTTACTAGCTGTATGACTGTCCACAAGTCACTTAATCCTGTGTGTCTTGGTTTCCTCATCTGTAACAAAGGCTGGAGACAGAAATGGCAAACCACTCCAGTAACGTTGCCAAGAAAATTTCAAGTAGGGTCATGAAAAGCTGGACACAACTGAACAATAATAGGTTTAAGAACAAAAGTTAAATGCAATCATCTTGTCAACATCAACAACTACTTTAGAATCACAACATAACAGCCTGGAAGAGACTGCAGGTTGCTGAATCCAATGCTTCTACTCTATAGATTTCCCTTGGATGAAGGCCCAGAGAGGAAACTGCCTTGGCCAAGGTCACACACTTAGCCATGAGCTGAACAGGTCCTCTGACTCCAATCCAGTGCTCTTTTCACTGTACTGTACTGGGGTGTCTCTATCAAACAGTTCCTGGTTCTAAGTGAGTAGTTCAATGAAGTGAGAATGAAAATATTTATATATTACTGGAAAGACATGGAACCCAACTATCATGAGCACCTGGCTCAACCATAGCTCTTTACTTACTATTTCTCCAAGGAGGACTACATTTTCTCCTCGGACAACAAAAATCCCTCGAGGAATATCGCCATATTTTTTGCCCACATGAATTCGTTCCACAGTCTGGTGTAACACTAAATTAGCTGTAAGCATGTCAGGGGAGAGAGAGAGATTTAGTTTTAAGTTCCTGAGTACAAAGCCCATTTATTACACATATTCTGAGGTAAGCCTCTTTAAATTATAAGAGATTCAAATAAAGATGATATTTCCAGGTGTACCCTGTGAAAGCATATAGTATTAAGGCTTCAGTTGGGTTATAAAAATTAAGAATTAAACTCCTGGTCTCCAAAGCCTAGTAAGTCTCCCTTGAATAGAAGACTTAATCAATTTCAGGGAAGAGATCCTATAATGCTTAAATTAAGAGAACATTCTGTCAACCTAAGAGAGGGCATGCCCTTGGTTCTTGGGAAGACAGAACCACTGGGCTGTAGGAAAATATAAATGTACCTCTCCAGTGGGATATCAATTCCTTGAGGGCGGGGACTTTCATTTTTGTCTTTGTATCCCCAGCATAATAAGTGTTTAATCAAACTGAAATTTATCAAACTATAGCGTTTAAATAATTGTCTCTCGTTAGTAACTTATATTAACAATTGTGGGCTCTTACAATTAGGTCCTTATTTCCCATCCAGCTGCACTCGTTTTGGACTTCTCTGACTTCACCATGCCCCCAGGAATGTCATGGCTATGACATTTTATCATCCTGCAGGGTTGAACCAGCCTTAATATTCATACTTCCTCACTACACTCTGGTACTGACAGGAACAGTGAGCCATGAATTCCTCAACCTCCATTTAAGGAGGGGGCACAATACAGAAGTCTTCTTTTCTATCTGGCTGCACTCATTTTGGGGACGTTGACTACCCCACCATTCCTCCCCAGCTTTTCTACTCCCTCCTTCTTTTGTAAGTCTTCCTTCATTAGATGGTAAGCTCCTTGAGGGTAGTGACTGTCTTTCTTTTTATATTTGTATCTCCAGCACTTAGCACAGTGCTGGCACATAGCAGGTGCTTACTTTTTTTAACCTATGAAAGAGGTTTTTTTTTGAGGTAGTTTCCTATTCAGTTTATTTTTGTACTCAATGAGGTTAATTCAACTTTATTCCATAACTTATAATTCTGACAAGGCAAAGGACCACGCTGTCACCAAGTAGGATCATAGGATCTGTGCCTAACCTTTGATTCTTCATTGCATCAAACCACTGTCTGCCACACAGCTGACCAACCAAGAAATTTACCTTTCTTTCATCATCAATTGGGTGCTAGCCAGCTTACTTCATTTCACAACTTTTAAAGCATGAGGGTAAAGTTTGTTGAAAAGCTCAGAAAGAATACTAGGTCTTTGACATCAGAAGACTTCGAGATACAAATAAATATGCCTGATCTCATATTACTTTCCTCCATGTACCCTATGCTCCAAGTTGGAAAACTCTTCACCACTCCCAAACTGGGTTCTCATGCACCTGTGTACCTTTGATCCTGCTGCTCTCTGTGCTGCCTGAATTGCCACAGAATAAAAGATTTGGGGTTGGAAAGGATATTTGAGTCAGTCAGTCAATAAGCGCTACTATGCACCAGATACTTGGCTAAATTCTGGAATACAGGAAAGGCAAAAATAGTTTCTACTCTCCAAGAGCTTACATCCTAATAGGGAAGACAACAGGTCCATACAAGAGCAGACAGAAGATAATCTGAGAGAAGAAGGCACCAGTAGCTAGGGAGACTGTGAAAGGCCTCCTGAGGTAGCTGATGGCACAGTGGATAGAGCACTGGGCCTGGAGTCAGGAAAACCCAAATTCAAACGTGGCCTTAGGCACTTAGCTGGCTCTGTGACCCTGTTCAAATCACTTAAACTCCTTCTTTTCAATTGCCTCAGTTTCTTCAAAATTGGGATAATAACAGCACCTACCTCCCAGGTTTGATGTAAGGATCAAATGAGAATATCTGTAAAGCACTTAGCACAGTGCCTAGAATATAGGAGGTATTACATAAATGCTTATTCCCTTCCCCTTCCCTCCTGAAGGTGGGATCTAAACTTAGTCTTAAAGGAAGTGAAGCAAGCTAAGATGGGGGTGGGGGTGGGGGGCAAAGCATTCCAGGTACAGGGGACAGATAGCGTCAAAGGGCAGAGGATGAAGAAATGCAGGTGGCCCAGTACAGATGGATCACAGAAGGTGTGGAAGACAGTCAAATATAAGACGACCAGAAAAGTAGGAAGGAGTCAGTTTACGAAGAGCTTTAAATGGCAAGTAGAGGAGTTAATATTTGATCCTGGAGGTAACAGATAACCAAGAGAGCTTAATGAGGAGGGAGGTAACATGGTTAGACCTATGATTTAGAAGAATTACCTTGGAAGGTGAATAGAAAATGGGCTGGACAGGGGAGAAAATTGAGGCAGAGAGACCAGTAAGATGGCTATAACAATAGTCTGGGCAAAAGGTAATGAAGGCCCGAGTTAGTTATTGTTGTATGAGCAGAGATGGGGACTTACATGAGAGAGGTTGTGAAGGTAGAAATAACAAATTTGACAATGGACAGATTGGACGTGTGGGGTAAGCAACAGTGAGGAGCTGAACATGACACTGAGATTGTAGGATGTGATTGGGAGGGGGTCTGACAGTAATTAGGAAATCTGGATGAGAGGAGAGTTGGAGGAAACGAGAATGAATTGTATTTTGGATATGTTGAGTTTGAGAAGTCTAAAAGGCAGTTGGTAATATAAGACTGTAAGTCAGGAGAGAGACTAGGCCTGGCTATGTACATCTGCATGGAGATGGTAACAGAACTCTTGGGAACTGATGAGATCACCAAGTGAGACAGTTACAGGAAGAAAAGGGACCACAGCAGAGGCCTAAGTGATGCTCAGTGTTAGTGATTGTGACATAGATGAACCAGCAAAGAAAACCTAGAGAGAAGAGAGTATCAAGGAAGAAGTAATCAATAGTGTAGAGTCAAAGATGTTAAGAAGGATGAGTACTGAGAAAAGGCCATTAGATTTGGCAATTAGGAGATCACTGGTAACTTTGGGGAAAGCAGTTTCAGTTGAACGAAGAGGTCAGAAACCAGACTGCAAAGGGGTTAGGAGAGTTAGAAATGAGAACTGGAGGCACTCACAGTAGACAGTTTTCACAAGGATATTTGCCACCAAGAGAAAGAAATATAATAGGACTAGAACTAGCGGGGATGGTAGGATAGAGTGAGGACTTTTTTTTTTTTTTTGCAAGGCAATTGGGGTTAAGTGACTTGCCCAGGGTCACACAGGTAGTGTCAAATGTCTGGTCTGAGACTGGATTTGAACTCAGGTGAGGACTTTTTAAGGATAGAGGAGACATGGGCATTTCGAAGGCAGCAGGAAAGGAGTCAAAAGATGTGGAGAGATTAAGAGAGAATGAAGATGACAGTGGAGGCAATTTGTTGGAGAAGATGGGAAGGGATGAGATTAAGCCTGATACTGGAGAGGTTAATTTTAACAAGAAGGGTCACTTCTTCCTGGTGGTGAGGGAGGATGTAGTGAGGGAAGCAGTCTGAATAAAGTTAGATGAGAAGGGGGAAAAGGAGAGCTTTTTAGCCAATTCCTCAACTATTCCAGTGAAGTATGAGGCACTGTTCTCAGCTGAGAGGATGAAGGGAGGGAAAATCTTGAGGAGAGGAGGCTCAGAATAGCACCTGTGAAGAGTGGGACAGTGAATTAATTAAGGAAGAATGGAATATTTGCATGGCTGCAGTGAGGGCCTGGGTGAAATCAGATAAAAAACTTGTAGTGGACTCAGATCACTCACTTTGGGAATTCCTTTCGGAAACATTAACAGGTATGCTAAAGTCCCCTAGTATGAGGGAAGGAAAGAAGGACTTCAAGTCAGGCACGCAACTTATTGAAGAAGGAAGGAGAATGTCTTAGATGTCAAAAGCCATCTTTTGGGTGATAAAAATCTAGATAGTGTGAACCTTAGAGAAGCTGGTTAGTGAAGGTGGTAGAGGGAAAGCCTGGGACTGGTACTGGTGAAACAGGAGAATTGTGACTCCTTCACCAGAAACAGTGAGTGGGTAGGAATAGGAGACAAAGCATAGCCTGTGCTGGAAAGATGTGGAGACAAGCAATGTCATCTAAAGGGAATCTAGGCATCAACTAGTGCAGCCCCTTCATCTTACATAAAGAAACTTTGGACTAGAGGTGATGGGATTTGCTTACGGTCCATTACACAAGTGGCAGGGCCAATGTTTGAAGTGAAGTATTCTGACTTCAAATTTGGCAGTCTTTCCATGCGTCTCTTTTCTCTCATGTTCCATTTCTCCCTTCACCTCCTAAATTCCTAACCTAACCTTTTGCAGTCCGACTCAATGGCCACCTCCTTCAAAATGCCTTCTTTAATTCCCCTGATAGATAATAATCTTCCTCTTCAGGTCTTGTCCAACAGTTTGTTTTTTTAACTTTCTGATGCACTTATGTGATTGTGCATTATAGCTATTTGTGCATCTTATCCTCTTTGTAGTTGTGAACTCCATGAAGCCAGGAACTTATCTAAATTTTACCTTCCTAGCACAAGCATGGTCATCTACACACAACTCCAAAAAAGCTTATTGCCTGAAAAAAAAAAAAAAGTTCCTAATAAGAATATTTTTGTAGCAACATTTCAGTCACCAAACTCTATAAACTCTATTAAGTACCTATTGTCACAATTTTGTGGTAGAAATTTAATAAGTGATGCATACACATATGCAGTATTCTAAGTATAAATGTGGGGTCCCTGAACAAAAAGCTTTAGAAATACCCCCAACCCTTTCTGTTGTAAAACAAAGACCTTCTTTCAGTACAGGTACTGCTTGGGTGGTTATTACAGCAATATCTACATGGTAATGAACAGCCTTAACTTTGGTGAAGGGACTTAGACTGATACTTAGCTCCACCTAATGGGGAAAGAAAAACCACCCAGAACTTGGTAAAAATGAATTCTGATAATCAAGCTTGTGTGTCTCCATGTATACTGACAGACACACATGTATAGTTTTTTTTTTTAAACCTAGTCACATTTAAAGAAAAATACACAAACTGCTGACTTAAAACCATGTTTCAATTGGGGGGGAGGGGACAGAAAACATTTATACAACAAAAAGTTACTCAAAAAAAAGGAAACAGTGGAAAGGGTTGAAAAACACAATCAATGAGAAAAGCTAGAGAGAATTTAAGTTCAGGGTCCTGACTAATACATACCAAATTGATCAATGCTTCGCAAATAGCCTATAAGGGTCCTACCATCTCGAAGGAGCACCAAGTGTTTCTCTGAAAAAGAGGATTTTTAAAATGATGACCAATGGTTCCATAGACTTTGCAGTGGTACAACAGCACAATAGTTGGGGAAAATTCTTTAGATGCCCTAAGAAAACTTTAAAATGGGCTATTTCCTCAATTTTTCAAGGCTAAATTCAATTGAGAAATCCAGTCAGGATGTAGGTATTATAAACTGTCAATAGTATCAAAGCAACACAGTTTAGCAGAAAAAGCATTGTACTGGCAGCCAGGAGATTTGGGATCTAGCTTTGGCTTTGCCACAAACTTACTGTGTCCTTATGATAATCACTTAGCTTCTCTCTGTATCAAGTTTTCCTATTTATAAAAGGGTGCTGGACTATCTCAAAGGTCTTTTCAGCTCTAAAATGCTATTGTATTCCATTTGAAAAAGATTCACTCAAAATGCGTATTGCAACAATTCAGAACCTCTTTCTATCAAAAAGATTTCCTTCAAGAGCTATAAGGAGGGGGAAAGGTTTCAGCTAATTAATGATCCTTAAAATTTTTCTTAATGAATTTGTTAACATTGCCTTCATTTCTCACTATATATCTCTAGTCTTTGTAAATATGTGACAGTAAAAGGATGAAAGAGTCAGGTAGGCAGCTCAGTGGATGGAGCAGTGGGCCTGGAGTCAGGAAGAACTGAGTTCAAATCTCTCCTCTGACACTTTCCAGCTACATGACCCTGGGTGAGTCACTTAACCTCTGTTGCCTTAAAACACTGGAGAAGGAAATGGCAAACCACTCTAGTATCTTTGCCAAGAAAACCCCACGGACAGTATTGGCATTCTATGATTTGGTCCATGGGGTCATCAAGATTTGGATATGACTGAACAAAAACAAAAAGGATGAAACTGGCATCTTACAATCAAGGCTAGATGTTAAGTTTCACAGTGATAGGGGCTTTAGTTTCTTCATCTGTAAAACGTGGTGGTTTCACTACATGATTTCTAAGGGTGCTTTCTGCACATTCATACTATTATTACAAAATATGTTTTGTTTTTTTTTAAATGGCCCTTGGGCAACATAAAAGAGTGAACCTTAAGGTTGGTTAATGAGACGCCACATGAATTATATAAACTCTGACACTAGCTACACTTATTTAGAACTAAGTCTAATTACAGACCGGTAATGAGATGAACTCTATGATTAAAAAGTGAAAGTGAAAGTAAAGCAAGTGGAGAAATGAGCACCCAAATGATTTGGAGAAAAGACTATCTAACAGAACTATAATTAGCCTTAGACTAACTGATTTAGAAAAACACTGAATTAAGCAAAAACAAGGAAGAAAAAGAGAACTTAATAGCTAATGATGAAACCATTTTAAAACAACAGAAAAAGATGGCTTAATTATGAAGCAGGCATTTCAGAGTCTAAAAATCTTTAAAAAGCAGCAATGCAGGCATGTCAAAACCATTTTCCATTGTACTGGAAACCATTTAACAGTTTCAGAAAATTATGGCATTTATTTAACACTTTACTGTTACAAATGAATTATATATGTGATCTCATCTGATCTTATACTAAGACTGATCGGTCAAATGAGCTCAAGTTTTATTAATCCCATTTGATAGATAAGGGAGTTGATTTTCAGTTCTCTCAGGTGATTTTCTGAGATAACATAACCAGTTAAATGACTGACCTGGGATTGGAAACCAGGCACTGCTTCCAAATACAGGGCCTTTTCTAGCAAACCAAACTGACTTGAAAGATTTTTTAAAAGTTTCCTGCAC